CAATATTTCCCTATAGCACTATTATGGGCACTATAGCGCCCAATTCACCCATATGTGGCTCTATAACACCAGTGGGTGGCTCTATAGTTGCATTAAAATAGCCAATTTTTGCATATTTTCACCTCATTGTCTCTATATGTCTATTTTATGTACCTGAAACCAAAAACATACAAAATTACCTTCCTTTAAAGTGCAATATCATTATAAATATGCATAAAACGATCATAAAATATGCATTAAAAATAGGTAATTTTATGGTGGATCAGTTAACATCTCAATTTAGTTTCCAAATTAGTTTCCAAACATCTGGATCAAATTGTAATTTTAGTCCTCACCCTAAAATCTCCAATTCTACGCCTATTAAAACTTATTTCTCTATTTATTTGCTCTTAACCCCATGGACTATATTCTCATCCATGAAACTAAATGTAATTCTTACTATGTTGGAACATAGCTCATTTTGGGTCACTATGTTTTGCAATAGATTTTAACAAATCAATTTGTCAAATCGATGAGTAAATTAAGCATAGAATTTGAATCATTATAATTTATGGATTTTAATAGCACTTTTACTAAACCATATTCCTACATATAATTATTCCTCATTGCAAGGAGAAATATAAAGGAAACTACTCAGATCTAATGGGGAAAAAAAATAACACATGGATTTATAGATAAATAAAAGTTTACAATACAAGATTAAGTAAAATAAACAAAGTACACAACTTATTCTTGAAATCCTTCCCAAGAAATTATTCTAGTTCCTCTGAATCACTTACTCTTCTTACAGTTCCACTCCAAACTTACTTGGAACTGTAGTGAGGAAGATATCTCTCACATCTCCTCTTCTACTCCAAGTCCAAGAAAGCCTCCAAGAATTTCTCCTTTCTAGGAAGATTCCACTTCTCTAAAAGCCTCATTTTTTCCTCCCCCAAAAGTCTCTCCTTTGAATCTCCAGAATTCTCTTTAAAAAGAGCTCTCAAAATCCCCAAGAGTATCTTCAAGCACCTCTTCAAAATTCTTCCAAGTTCAATGGATCTTTTAGATAACTGCCTCTGATGCCTAGGCGCTAGATTCTAATGCCTAGGCCCCAAGCTCTTTGTTGTCTGGCACCTAGGTGCCAGATCAACTTTGACCTTTTTGTTCCATTTACTCCATTTGCTTCATTTAGTGCACATACAACCAAAACATCAAATATATCTTTCATTAAAGCTCAATAGCATAAAATATAGATATTAAATGTGCGAATAAAAACATCATTTTTTAGGCATGTCACCATCTTAAACATCATCTATGATATTGATAATGTATATAACTTCATTGATAGATTAACTGGTCTAAGCACGTTAGTCTATCATCATTTGATTGATGCTTTTCTACCATACGATCAATAATGGATTAAATAATGGATATTCCAACACCTCAAAAGACTTGCTTTGTCATAAAAATAGAAAACTATTTACGGTCATATTTTTATACTATTGTTCATTTTATTCTTATGCCTTGATGAGCTTCCCTACATTGATAATTATGATTATTAACTTGATATAGTTTGTCATCCTATAAATAACAATCTGTGTTTATTAGTTGAACACATATTGTATATTCTATATTTAAAGTTCTTGTTTAAAGGGAAGAAAAGCTAAGTTCGTGGTTAAAAAAAAAAGCAATCTCATGTGATTAATAATACTAAATAAAATAATATAAATCTTACATAAAGCCTTGATGTGAGATTGAGGACCAATTATTTGAAGAGATTTCTCCAAGAGATGTTTCTCTAAAAAAAGAAGTTCCTCTTGAGGAGGACTTAAAGTTTTCAAACAATGGTAGAGGAAAAGAGAGCTACTTAAAAAAATAATAATCAAAGCACTTCTCTTCCCTTAAGAAAATTCAGCCAAGGCAATTTTAGAGGGAGTTAAGTAAGGAAAGAAATTGAATTGATTAAAGATGAGGTAAATTTTAACCAAGCTTATTTGATAGATTATTTTAATTTCTTTAAGCTTTAACATGGCTTACAATTCATCAAAATATGGCTTCATATGAGAGAAACACAATAGGAAACAAAATAAAGAGATTCAACTGTAGATTTTTGGCCAAGCACGTATTGGTATTTGACGAAGCAATATTTGGACTCCCATGTGCTTGATTTCAATGGATTATGCCATGGGAATGAATGGAAAAGAAATTAGGAATGTTTATAATCAATAAACAAGAAAGTTTGTGCACTTAATACATGATTTGGTCAACCCAATCATGGTGAAATTTGGCTTCAACATAGGTGAAAATTTTGGACAGATTTTACAAGATTTGCAAAAAATAATTAAAAATAAGATATGAAAAAAGTCTACATATATTTCTAAAGATATACCTATAAAATTATCTAGATCAATATATGATGCAAAAAATTTGGCCAAAAGAAAGAAAGAGAAAATTGGTTATAAGAAAACAACTAAACTATATAATTATCTCACAATCGATTAAACTAGTTTTAGCAGAACACAAGTGTGACTAGTAAACACATGCTTGAGTGGAATTTAATCAAAATTATGTGGGATGAGGAATTTTTAAATAATGTAATATAGTATTTTGAAAAAGAAAAGTTAAAGGGAATTTACTTTGTGGTTAGTCTAAGTTAAACCTTATATATTTGTTATAAACCTTATAAAAACATTGAAAATCTTAAGAAACATAATATAAAGACTTATCATATTATAAGGTCCTCTTTATTTTTCCCTTATATTAATTTATTTCATACATACCTAAAATACAATTTAGACCTTTCAACTTGACTACGTTTTTACCAGATCGAATATTTAAAAAAATAACTCTGAAAAAAACAAAAACATGTAAAATTTTAAATTTTTCTTTATAATTAATCTAGGATCATTTATATATTAACTTTAAGTAATTCTAAGATTTTGAAATCTCTTATTTCTTCTTAATTGAATTTTGAAGTTAAAGTTTCTTCTGCTGGTTAGACAGATTTTTCATCTAACCTGACCTTTTATTTCTTCAAACATTTAATCAACACCAGTTATAAAGCCACCAAATGTTGTCTAACCATCTTAGGTCTCTTGGGAGGAGTTTCAAACTATCATTTCCCTAACATAAGAGATTTGATGTTAGACCACATCAGATAAGAGCACTAAGGCTTTAGAATTCATTGCAATCGATTTAAGTTCAAGAGAACATCCTTAAAGATAGCTCTCTAATTGTCCATTTATAAGATTTGTGAGCAAAAGATAAAGGTACATAGGAAAATAAAAATGTATTTAAAATTACATGGGGAGTGTAGCTCAATAAGTATAAGGCCAAAAAATTTGAATACTCATGCATAATCGACATATTGAGATTCAGTTGCTAGAGTCTCATATTTGTAGTTATGGTTGATTGGTCAGAACTTGTTGGAAAAGTGATAGAAGTTAAGTATATCTTTACGAAGTAACTGTTACTAGCAAGGATGAGTGACACTATAAACAGTGTAATTGGCTCCATAGCTTGGGTGAGCAACCCTCTCAGCATGGGTGAATTATTGGTTTCTTTATAGAGTCAATAACAATCTCTTGGCATGGTCTTCTAGGAGTGCGGTGATTTCTTCATTGGTCATGATGAAATGTTGATAAACCATATGTACACTTTTCTTTTCGGGTGAGTTTATGCCAACTTTGTGTATGTTCCAATGAATAACTGTTAGTTTCTCCCACTATTCTAGTCTAAGTTGTTATGAACCAGTTTAATATAACTTGTAGCAACTAAATGGAATATTTTTGGTATACAATATGTTATCCTTGCAGTTAACTAGAATTCCTTTTCCTTTTGACATACTCTTTCTATTATAGCCTGATGTGTCGAATGATCTTCACACTTCAAATAATCCTTCTCTTAAGGCTATAAGAAGACTTTATTTACTTTTTTACCTTTATCATTGCTTAAGCATTGTGGAATGGAAGCATGCTTAGATAACTCAATAACAATACTATGTCTATAACTAGTATTATATTTAAGGTTAAACTTCAGGATACTTATAAATTGCACACATGAAAAATGAATGAATCATTACCTATTAAGGTCAGAAATCTAGTCTGTAAATAAAGAAATATTCACGCTGAGCTGAAATGTGTTAGCCCAACCAATGGTTGGTTTTGTTCCTGCAGTTATTTTGTTGCTCTTTTGGATATCCTTCGTTGTCTATGTTGAGCGATTGGTATGTTTTGGCTCTGTTTTTATTACTGCAGAATGATGCAGCTTCTTTACTCTCATAATTTGGATTGCATGAGATTCAAACTATGGAAATACAAGCATAAGAAGGAAAATATAACATTTATCAAACGCTAAACCAAATAGTAATCTTCTCGTGGATATGATTTTATCTGTTATTCTTATTCTCTCTCACATTTCGAAAGTTTTTTATTGATTATAATTTGAGCCTCCTATACTTTACGGGAGATCCGATTTTAATTATTCGCTTAACTCATATGGCCGTGTTAATTCGATACTCATCATAAAGCTGTACGAGGAAACAGGTGCACGGAATCTCGCGTAATGTTGTACTTCCAAAACAAGTTAATAATAGAAGTGAAATTTACACATCTGACACCTAATGTTTGATACTTATATTTATATCATTTTGGCTCATGACATGCATAAAAGATGTACCTCAATTTTATGAAGATAATAGTATTGATATTTTTGATGTGATATTAAATATTAAAGTGTTTTGTATGTACATATGAAGGTTTAGGAGTTTGATACATAAATACATAAGAATTGTGTGGTATGTATGTAAACGCCCCATAATTAAAATAAAGATAATATTCTTGAAAGTAATTATACCCAATTTTATCAAGCGACTAATTCAATTCTTAATCATCCTCCACTTATACGCGATAATAAAATATAATTAGTTCGTCCCAACAAAAATTTGTGCGATTTTTTCTTCAGATTTGTTCTCATTCGAGAAATATTTATCTAAAAACTCATAAAAGGAAACATGAGCCTTGCATAAAGGAATTGTCGTATCATATGAACTTACAATATAGGGAAACAAAAATAAATTCACTAAATCATATCATCTAAAATCCTAAATATTCACACCAAAATACTTTCATAATGCTTTGCATCCAACTTTATACAGCAAAGCTGAAACTACTAACTTCCTCTTGCTTCGCTTTTTGTAATTGCATATTACAAAGCTACGTAGCCACCCTAAATTTAATTCTTCCCAATGCTCTAAGAAATTTGAGCTTCAGATCAGGCATCAGCAACTTGAATTTGTTTCATCATGTAGCATCCTTATCCAGTATGAAGAGCAGTACTTCCAATTTGCTTTTTTGCAACTTTCAAACTCAGAACTCTTAAATGAGAGAACAGCAGGAGAAACCCAACTTTTTGTTCTCTCCTACTCCGAACCAGATTGTGGCACTCATATTTCACTCCTACATTTTGAACTTCTTAACCTCACTTGGATAGATGTAGATCTTCTTCACCATATCACAAAATTCCCTTTAAAAGCCAATAATCATCATTAGTAAATTGAAAAGATAAATCAATAACAGTAGATTTGTGCTTCACAGGGACTTACATCCATGGATCATCACCAACAAGCATCGTATCACCTTCATCATCGGTGAATACTACCTCCCATTTATCCCTTTGGCAAAGCTCTCCTTTGATCTCAAACAACTTTTCCAGCTCACAAATCAGCTCATCATACCCACCAAGATTCATGAGATCCACAGCTCTACCAACGGCTACTCCGTGCATATGAACCTTAAATCAGATCAACCAAAACATCAGACATGCGGAATACTTCAATAAAAACTATACTGATACTCTTAAAATCAAGGACTTTTACCTTAATGCGGCTTCTTGTAGAACTCGGCCTGCCCTGAATATCCTTACTAAATAGATGCATTGTTTTTTTAAGATCATCCGATGCCTTTAATTGTTCAGAGTTTTGATCTGACAGTTTAACAGAAACAACGGGAGCTTGTGGTTCCTCTGTCATCTCACTCTCAGACTTCTTGTCAGGAAAGGAAGAGCAAATGGGAGGATTGACAAGATTAAACCCAAACAGGCGATAAGTGCTTCCAGTCTCAACCTTCTTCCACTCATCCTTGGCTTGAAAAATTTTTTTGTCCTGCTCAACCACACAGCCAAGGATAGCTTGCCTCTTATGAGGGACAACCATTGACTCAAGTTTAGTGTCTTGATATCGCTTTAGAGAAACACCATTGTCCGAACACTTAGAATTCATGATTGAAGAACTGTGCTCCACGAAACCATCAAGCACTCCTCTACTATGAATGTTTGGCACATCACTGGAAATAATTCCACCAACTTCATTTGTTTTAGGTGGCCATATAACTTGGGGAATTTCAGATTTCTGAACATGGCATAAATCATGTGAATTCGTTGTGCCACAGCTCCAGAAAGTGGATGAAGTTTCTATACAAAGCAAAGGGGAAAACAAAAATAGCACCAAAACTATAAGAACTAACCCCAGAAGCATTTTAAATCTTCCAAAAAATTAAAGATATAATAGAAGAGAACATACGAAAAACATATTCGCTGCCAAAATTTGGATGATCTGAGAGACCCATCGACAACTTAGGTCTTTTGTTACTAGTAAACAAGGACTGAGGAACAGTGGGAGTTGGTGTTGAAGAACTATAGGGCTCAATCTCCCATGGAGACAACCTTTCAGGTCGTTGAAAATTTACGAGCTCATCCCATTGAACCTGAAAGGGATAATAAATAAGTTCGATGCAAAGAAATGAATTTTAAAGCTTAATGGAAAAAAATAAATGAAAATAAGTTAACCTTCATTTGTCTCCATTTGGAACCTTCCCACTGAGAAGATAAATCCCCCACGCCTACTATAGTTCCGGTATATCTGAGACATTCAAATTAAATACATGAATCGAATTTCAAAATCATGGAAAATTTTTGTAAGGATGATAAGAATTACAATTTATTGTTAGAAAAAAATACATAGATAAACAGAGAAGATTCATGAATCCATAGGTCACCTTTTCTCAGGAACATCTTCTCCTTCAAATCTCATCTTGAATCGCATCCCAAGGGAAAACCCATTATTAATAGCTTCCAAGTACTTGTTCACTCCAATAATGAATTGGCTAGTTCTGTTTAAAAGAAAAAAAAAAACCATATCATCAACATATATATAATCACATAAATCCATGCCTATTTTGTCAATCATCAAAATAATTATTTTCCAACCTTGGTTTGTAGCAAACAGTGAACATGGTTTGGGTCATCACTGCATGTGATGCTGTAGCAAGCACACCAAGATGCATGCTATGACGTGAGATCACAGATGACGGGATGGTACTCTTGTGTCGAGCAAGACGCTTAACACCAACTCTCAATTCTCGATTTTCTCCTCTATATAGAAGATAAATTTCATACTCATCAATAAATCAGAGAGAGGATAATATTCATACTCATCAATAAATCAGTTAAGGAAGAAGACAAAATCGAAAAGACATTCTTCAAGACAGGCAGCAGGAAAGATGCACTTGGGACATCAATTTATCTCAATACAATTCGCAAGAATAAACAAAAAGCATTCTTCCATTCTAAGAAATTCTCACCTTAGAAAAACAAAAGCATCACCAGCGACTAATTTCTTGGAGGTGACAAAGGTGCTCCATCCAGTTGTAAGGAGATGTCTCCGCGGTTGACCTGCAATGTACAAATGGTGAGATGAAAAGAACAAAACCGTACATTTATCTGACAAAATTCAAACCGCATATAACATGGAGCCAGAGAAAGACAACCAAACATTGGAATAAGTACCTCTATATATGTGTTTGAATCGCCATTCAAACCCATGAAGGTCTGTGGCAGACAGCTCTTGGGTTGGAGTTGGCTGCGACATATCCTAGTTAAGAAAATAAAAAAAAAGTAAACACAAGCATTTTTATAATCTAACTGATAAGGAGAGAATGGAAAAAAGGAAATTGGAGCCAACCAGTGGAGGAATGCAATCGTTAGCATGCCTGCGAAGAACAGAGAATCCTCCATGAGTGCTTGTGTCCGAAGCAGTCAAAATTTTGCAGAATGAATGAACCACCGGCCTCTCGGGCTCCGGGGAGCATTGGTCCGTTGTTTTAGGCTCGGTTTGCTATCGAAATTCAGGGGACAAAAAGATAATCATTGAGCAATCATAGGGAACAAAATCTGCCAAAAAGAAAATTCAGTATTCGCTTACATCAGACTCTGGAAGTAAAGCGATCTGTGCGTAAACCTCATCTGTTTCAGCCTCAGCCTGCCCTTACATAGGTCAGTTCAGTATAAGAGACTGCAACTTGAAAATTTTATAGCAAGCAGAGTAATCTAGGAGAAAGATAATTTACCCTAAGCTCTATGTTCAGAACGCGACAGAGAATCTTGGATGGAAGAGGGAAGAAGGGAATTCTCTGATCCAACTCCTGATTCGTTGATGCTTCCAACTATATATCCCCATTAAACACACAAAAAAAGAGCTTTTTCATCAGATATAGTAGAAACCTAAGAGAAGAGTAATTTAAACAAACCCACTCACCTGCTCCATATGACCTTGAGGAAAATAGTAAACCCTCTCTCCAACGCGCGGAATCTCCACCAGTGGCCCAGCGCACGCCCTCCATAGCTCCTCGTACAAATCGTCTTCACCCATGCTTCGATTAAACACCACAAAACCCTCAATCTCCAAACAAAAGAAGCTCACAAAGAACCAATTTGCAACCAAAAATAAAAAATAAAAAGAGCTTACCTTGTTTCAGCTTCAACTGAAACTCCTGATTCTCTCCTCTTCCTCTCTCTTCTCTCTTCTCTCTTCTCTCTCCTATTTACTTCCCACACTCGATTCTTAAAATCGAATCCCTACCGTTTCCTCTTCCGGTGAAACCGCCCAAAATGTCCCGAGTCCCCAAGTCGAAGGTCCAATTTTTCCAGGGAAACCCACTCCCAACTTCCACCTTCACCTGTCAATTTCTCTCACGCTTTTTCTGCCGCTTTCTAAAACAGAAACGCCGTTGGCATGCTAACTCCCTTAAAAGCTCGTCTTCCAACTATTGTATATAACGAAGCTCGTCCCAGCACCGCACCAAAGATTAGCGTGGAATTACTTAAGTTTCAACGGTCAAGTTAACTTATGCATATTTGGGTGACCATACTGATTTCTCCGGCGTTACTGTGGGCTTGTAATGTTGGCTTTGGGCGGAATTCATTGGCTCTGGGGTATTTGATGTTACTGCCGTAAAGGTAACCGTTAATTGACGGCGTTTGATAGCCGTGTCTGCCCCTCGGCCGGCAGGCGGGGAGACCACTGGCTGGCTCCTGGAAAACCCGGCAATATTCTTGTCGTCTTTCGGCACGGAATGCAAAATGAGGCTAAGGGTTGTCATGGCTGGAACTAAGATTTTACTGGAATTAATTTTTGATACGACAGATATTTCAAATAATTAATTTACTACAAATTATGAGGGCGGTTAATATAACTTTTAAAAAAAGTATGTAATTGAGATATTTCATTATAATTAATTAGCTTAAATTTGATTGATTGAAGCATGAATAATTTAATTGGTTGTCTTTTCTAAAAAATTATGAATTCACTAAATTAATTAAATAATAATATTTTCTAATAAAAATTGAAAATTATTGTGTCGGAAGATTCACGGTAGTAGAGTTATACTTTAGCGACTCAATGTTGTACGAAAATCTAGCATACTCACAAATAATAAGAGCGTAGTAGGATGAACGAAGATTTTTATATGGAAAACCTCAAAAGGGACTACGCCGTGGGGTATGCCTCAGCTAGAGTGATCCACTGTATGATTATAAGTATATTAGTATACACTTCTCCCGAATTAGGAAAGCTGGATTTATAATGTTGATAATTATAGGTGTACAATAATTGTCCAACTTTAATAGTTGTACTTGGGCTATAAAGAATGTAATATCATGTGATAATCGCAATAGTGAGCCGCAAAGACCAGAGTTGGTTGTTAAAAAAGTCGTAGTTAGTTATATAGGTCGTACTTAATGGCTGCAATAGCGTCAGTTGATCAAAGTTGTGATAATTGAAGACTGCAATAATGTTAGTTAGCTTCAATGGCTATAATTAAATGTTGTAGTTGTTGGTCACTAGTCATGGTTGGTCACATAGGTCTTGGTTAGTAGTTGTAGTAGCATCTGTTAGTCATAAATGTCGTATTTAATAGTTAAAAGAGCGCCAGTTGTCCAGAAAGACCACAGTAGGAAGTTGTAGAAGTAATTGGTCTCACAGTCCCTAGTTGGTCGCAGCAAGAGCATCAGTTCGCCACAAAAGCCATGATGGGAAGTTGAAAGTATAATTGAATTAGAACTCGTGTTTAGATTATTTAAACTTCATATAATGTTTATATTTTTTCATGTTAATTATAACATATGTTTAGGTTATTTAAGCTTCATATGATGTTTATATGTATTCATGGAAATTAGAACACAAGTTTAGGTTATTTAATTTTCATATAAAATTTTTGTTCTGTGTGAATTAGAACCCATGCCTTGGTTATTTAAATTTCATATGATGTTTACGTTATGTGTCCACATGTTTATGTCATGCTTTGACATCCACATGTTTATGTATTTATGTATTCACATGCTTAGGTATTCATATGTTTATGTGATAACTTAGGTTAATTTTGCATGCTTATATGGCAACTTAAGATAATTGACATATTTTTGTGATAAGTTAGGTAAATTTATATGTTTTGGTGATAGTTTAGGTTAATTTTAAGATAATTTGTATGTTCATGTAAACATTTAGGTTAATTTAAATGTTCTTGTGATAATGTAGGTCAATTTTCATGTTTATAAGATAAATTAGGCTAATTTTCATGTTTATGTGATGATTTAGGTTAATTTTCTTGTTCATGTGATAATTTAGGCAATTTCTATGTTAAAGTGATCATTTAGATTAAATTGTAAGTTCATGCTATAATGTAGGCCAATGTGTATGTTTGTGTGATAATTTAGGATAATATGCATGTTTATGTGTTATTCATGTAAATTAGCATGCTTATGGGTTAAGTTAGGTTAATTTTGTAAGCTTATGCAAAACTTCTCAAAAAATTTTTTAATATAAATTTATATAAATTTAAATGTGCTCCAAAATTCTTAAAATTATTTTTAATATAATTTAGTATAAATTTAAGTGTGCTCAAAACTCTTCAAAATCACTTTTAATATAAATTTATATAAATTTAAGTGTGCTGCAAGTTCTCAAAATCCCTTTAAATATAAAGTTATATAAATTTTGAAGTGCTACAAAATTTTCAACAACATTTTTAATCTAATTTGTATAAATATGCACAAAAATACATGATGTTTTTCTTAAAATAAGTTTGCAAGAAAAACTATTAAAAATCTCCAATGTCGTTATAAGAAAATTATGTAAGCTTAAATGAATCTATAAATTTAAGATAATTTTCTATTTCAATTAAATATTTTTTCGATTTGCAATTTTTGAAGACTCTCTAAAAAGAATTTCCAGACTTTTTAAAATTATAATCCTAAAAAGTGACCTTTTTCCTTACTTGTCCTTGGGAGCTTTTCATACAGGTTGATTGCCGGTATTCTCTGTCCCAGGTGAGATTTGGCAGATCTACGCTCTACATGCTTTAGGGAGGTGGCAGTAGTGTAGGTGTTGACAGCGGTAGTAACCATAGGCAATCTAACATGGAGCTTGACAGAATTACACGGTGGTGGTTCGTCTCCTCTAGAGATGGATCTATGAAATTGTCTAACAGTTTTATCTTTTTTTCAAAACCTAGACCTTCATCTAGTGTGATAGTGCATAACCCATCCTTTTCAAGATTCCAGTGACAAAACAGTGTTCTTTGTGAGCCAATCTCTTAAAGACATAATGTATTCGAATAAGAGGTGTGGGTTGTACCTTTGCCTTACCATGGCCATTATGCCAAGATGGTGAGGGTAGCATATCGAAAATTCTATAAACACATGCCTCTCTGGAAGTGGCAAACAAAGAGTTAAACCTTCTCCTTCTAAGAAGAGATTAGGTCTCAGGCAACCCTGTTCCTTCCTGATGAGGAGCTTCTTTGGTTAGAATTATCTCTACAGTTTTTGCCTTCTTGTCCTTAATGATCTTTCAATTTTGTTTTATTCTCTGTGACTTGCTCAATCGTACAAACTTTGAACTGGGCCCGATTTCAGACACAGATGGTATTGGGGTGAAGGCCTCAACTGTCTCTTCTTTATACAAGATCCTTTTCCCCTTTGACGATAGCGATGCGACAAAGGTGGTGACAGTAAATCCTTGGCAGTGGGAGTGATATCCCTCATAGTGGTGTAAGAGACAGGTTTGAAAAGAGTTGGGACAACATACTCAAAAGGTTTCTCTATGACTTTTGTCTTCTTGAGTGTAGCAAACTTTTGGCTACACTACAGGTTAAACTTAGCTAGCAGTCATGAACCTCTGAGGCGGTCGTTTTCATTGTGACATAAGGTTCTTTGCTGAGTATTACCTCGAATTCATCAAAACTGCCCTCAAACTTAATCATTGACTCTACAAAGACGATAACTTTATCGTAAGACAAGTCATATCCTCTAGTGAATGAGAAAATCAGTTTTGGGACGAAATTATTTATGTCAATTGGAAATTTCCAAATGTCAGCGACGCCCTATGCCCTTTCTTTTAGTGTAGTAATTTTGACACTAGTACCGAAATTAACAGAATTGTTGACTAACTGGAATTTTCTTTCAAAATTTATCCAAGTGGGAAATTTTATTATTATTCTTTACTTCTTTTAAATTTCTTTGTTTTTTGCTTTATTTTGTATTGTTTTATTTTATTTTATTTTGTTTTGTCATTTTGAATGTGTTGAATTAGAGGTTTTATTTTGTCATATTGAATTGAAACATTGCATGATTTTTTAAAGCAAGTTGAATTCGAAAGGAAGATGAAATGAATTTAAAGGTTAGGACCTGGTCCAAAAGATTTAGAATGAAAGGCTAATTCCAAAATATACTCATTCTAATCCTTATCTTTCCTTAGACACCATTCTATTGGGGGTCCAATCCACCTTATACTTTAAATATTTTGGAACATATCTGCTTAGGGGTGATTAAACAAAAGGTTCTAGAATCAAGGGAGTAGTTCATTATACCTGCCGAAGGAAGAAATAAGTGAGAAACATAAAAAGAATAGTAGTCTAGCCTTCGAGGGACATGGACACACTACTTATGTATGAAGATAAAACCACATAATCAGAGATGAAGAGAGAAATAATTCCACAGCGTAGTCATAAGAACTTGTGGGTAAATTTTCATGAAAATATGTTTTAATATTAATCTAATATGTATATATAATTTTGGCTTTAAGAATAACATTTTAATTTTGAAACATGAAACCAAATTGATCTCAAATATTTAGTAGGTTAGTTAGTTGAGCAAAATACAACAAGTAATAGATCATCCCGAAAGATGAGCACATCACTTATTGATAGGCTCGACCATTTAAAATAAGAAAATTTATGACATATATTTAGTCTGTAAAATTTTTGACCAAAAATTCACCTACCTAATATAAACATCAGAAGTGGTTTAGATTATATGGTTTTCTAATTTCCTATAGAGGGAAGCCCCAATAATTAATTACATTTAGACGACCAAAATCACTTAAAAAATCTTGATTAAGATTAATAGTTTTTTCTTCAAGAATTCAAAGTTGGGTTTTCACAGCTTTTTATACGAAAAGTCAAACAGGAATGGACAAAAAAGGAAAAGTTATTTTGGAGGCCAAAGAAGCAAGAAGTAGGAGATGTCCTGAATTTGAGGAGGACCTCAATGACTTTCTGAACTATCCTATCATTTGGCTTTATATTTTGAAAATGATGTTTATTTCATCTTTACTCCTATCAGTTATTTAAAATTTGGGCTTACATTTGCAAAATATACGATCATGCAAATATCATAGGAATATGGAAATCGTACCACATAGACAACCTTAGAGCCTAAAAACAGTTGGGACTTATACTGCACAACATGTTTGTGCAGAAGCCTAAAAGATAAATTGAAGATTTTTATCATA